AAGCTGTGACTCATGTCAAAGGAATAAAAGTAGCAACAAACAACCAGCAGGACTTTTACAACCACTTCCAACACCAATGTTCTGGGAAGCAACATAAGCAGGAGCTATCAACAGGTATTCTTTTCTTTTAGATTAATGATTTGAAGGACTTTTCAAACCTGTCAAAAGGAAGTAGGTGTATTTTCCATCTGATGATTTTTCAATGATTTCAGCTGATGAAACATAGATCTTGATCCTCAAGCTCAGGTAAAAGCAATGGTGTTCTTTTTTTTTTTAAGTAGCTATTTTTAAATGAATTTATTGCTTTGTTGTATCTTAGGGGAAGTTTTCTCAATATGTGGTAAAATATCCTAGCAAGTCTTGCTCTGATTTTGCTGGAATCTTTATCATGAGGTGTTGAAAGAAAAAGGGCACACTATGTATCTAACAAAACATAAAGAATGGGTGGCATTCACTGGACAAACTCCTTACCTTTTTATCTTTGCTGTTGAATAATTTTTGATTTCAGACCTGGGTTTTGAATCTGATTGTGGCTGAGGTAACCCTTTGCAACATGACCAAATCATGCAACATTTTTTCCATGATGGGGTCAGGAATGTCTGCATGGATTGTGTATGTAAAGCCATGCATGTAGATTTTGAAATTCATCATGTTTGAAGAAATGCCCCACTTACCTAATTCACCATCCCAGGGTCCTTTCACAACTTGTTTCAGCATATTTTGGTAGTGCAGGTAGATGTGTAATGGGTGATTGCTTGTCATGGTGTTGTCACTTCATGCAAGTGGGTCCATTTGTCTTTGGCCACCATCAAGTTATAGAAGATCTGAGAAGGCCATACATACTTATTTCTTTTTAAAAAGGGAGACATATTCGAAGGCAAAGTTGTGGTTTTTGATAGATGTTTGCATTTTTGGTGGCCAGTATCTGGTTCAAATTTTAAAAATTTCTTTTCTCAAACATCAATGTGGCTAGTACCAATACAAGCAGGACCTAGCTATATATTGAAGTTGGTATTTTTTAATGTACTCATAGTGTCCCTTCCTATTGGGGGAAACATCAAAGACTCCAGGTCAGGATTCCAAATAAGATCAGAAGCATTGTTCGATTCAACAAAACTCACAATCAGTATATTGTAGTTTGTGTCAGTTGGCTTTTTAATTAATAATTTAGGTATAATTTTTATTATATTTAAATTATTCAGATACATGTATTAAATTTTAAGATTTTTAATATTAATAAATTATTCATATTTTATATATATTATATGATACATTGATAGTACATCACTTCAACTTGTAAATGTTATAAGAGATGAAAATATTGATTTGAAAAGGTAAAAAAAATAAATAATACTGCAATTATTAAAAATTATATTTATTTTTTTATCAAAAAAATTATTTGTTGCATATTTGACATCCAAATTTTAAAATGAAAAGAAAAATCAAAAGATATGATGATTGTGAGAAGTTATTACCTTTATATAATATCATTATTAAATATAAATAATCAAATTATCTAAATACAGTAGGGATCAAAAGTTTTTGGAAAAGTTTTATGTGATATTACTCAGCAAATAATTATTGTATCAGCAAATAATTTTTTTTATTTAAAAATATAATAATAAAAGTTTAAATTATATACAATTAAAATTTAATTCGTTCACCATTTACTTTAATAACCTCTTCACATCTTTTCCTCATCGAATTTACCAAATTATTTATAATTTCATCAGAAATTAAGTCCCATTCTTCAATCATAAACTCCTCCAAATCATCCAAATTGCGTGGTTTTCTCTTTTCTACATTTCTTTTGACTAACCCCCACAAGTTTTCAATAGGATTTAGATCCGGACTGTTTGATGGCCAGTCCATTACTTCAGGCACATTTTTTTGTAGGAAATCTTTTGCTAAATGACTTTTATGCTTAGGATCATTATCCATTTGAAGCCTCCAATCATCACCCATTACTTCATTTATTTCAGGAAGTTGTTCCTCAAGAATTTGAATGAAAAATTCTGCATTCATTATACCAGTAAAGCAATACAAACTGGTTTTGACGCAACTCGAAAATCCACCCCAGGCATGAATTTTTTGTCGATTTTTAGGAAAAGGACGAATTGGCCTTTGGTACTTGTACCATTGTGTAATGGTATTTTGGAACAGTTGAAATGAAGTCTCGTCAGAGAATACGGTTCGTGACCAATCATCATCAATATGTTTTTTTGCCCATTCAACCCGTTTTTTTTTATGTTCTGCTGTAAGCATAGGGGTCGCGATAGGGAGGGCATTTTTATAACCCTGACGCTGAAGATGCCTTCCAACTGTATCTTTTGAAACTTTTATACCCTTTTCTTCTAATTTTTGAACCAAACCTTTCCTTGTTATTTGAGGATTTCGTCGAATTTGTTGTCCAATAACGTTTACTGCGGAACCGGTGATTTTCCTTGGCCGCCCTGAAACTGGTTTGCAAGCAACATCACCTGTTTTCTCCAACTTTTTTAAATTATAATAGATAGTAGAAAGTCCAATGTTTGTATGACGATGAATTTCGTTTGCATTACGTATCCCTTCGCACCAAAAATGTAAAATTACATCTCGTTGCTTACTTTTTGTCATGACACTAGTTTTTTGAGGCATATTTGAATAAAAATATTATAAAAACGTTTCAGTGGGAAAAGAATTTTTTTCTAGGGAGCACAAGGGTTTATTGTACGCGTTTTAATTTAAATTTGTAAATTGTACAAGTTATAGTACAAGATCAACATCACGCGAAAAATTTCCAAAAACTTTTGATCCCTACTGTATATAAAATTCAAAGACTTGATCAATTTGATCTCTCTAGTGAACATCTACAAATTTACTAATTTTTTATATAAATACAATATCAATCAATCAGGATCAAGACTTTTGGCATAATCTCTATGATTTTGGTAAATTTGTTAAATAATAAAAGGCTGGAGGCTCCAGTTAGTTTGGTTTTTACAAGATTTATATTAATTGGAATAACACTAATAAGATCATTATAATTAAAGCTATTGTTCTTTAAAATATTGAAACATTCTTCTTCACCACCAGACTTTGTTGAAACAAATACTTTTCCTTTGTTTTCAGGCAGACTGTTAAATCTAAATGATGATATTGTTTTATTATATTTGGCAAAATTTTAAAATTGTTTTCAAATAATTCTCCAAAATTATGTCATTTCCATCCTTATATTGTATAGGTCCATTTCCTTTTGCCCTATAAAAATTTTGTCAGAAAATGTATACATTTTCCATGCTGTAACTAGTACAAATTTAGAAACTATCTCCAAAAATTAAAAAATTGATTGGTGTGTAATGTTACACGCGGGCATTGCGGGCATTGAATTTTCAACACTGCATGCACTTTGTATGGAATATGTATGGAATTATACATGAAAAGAGCACTTTTCCATACATATTTGTCCAGAAAGTGTCCTGAAAATACATTCTGTGCATTTTCCTGTACATTTTCATGCATTTTTCATTTTCCATACATTTCCAGAACATTTTCAGGGCAAATATGTATGGAAAAGTGCTCTTTTTAATGTACAATTCTGTAAAAGATTCCATACAGAATATGTGGAAAATGTATGGAAAAACCATACATTTTCTGACAAAATATTTTATAGGGCTGAAGAATTTTTAATATCATTAATTTGATTAACTTCACTATTTCTATATAAATTTTTTATATGACCAAAAAAGAATCGCATATAAATTTTGTATGCCCCGGAATCATAAAGTTAACTGTGATCTCTTCATACCAACCCAACATCATTAACAAAGTCCAAAACCATAAAGATAAATTATTTTATTCTGTACAGAGCAATTATCACAAGTTATATTATATGTATTTTTTTTCCCCATCCAGTGTTAAAAATTCAGTGCGGGGAATGCGGGTGCGTGTAACATTACACACCAATCAAAATTTAATTTTTGGAGATAGTTGTTAAATTTGTACTAGTTACATAACGAAATTTCAACACTGTTCCCATCCTTTGCAAAATTTGCAGAGCTTGAATTTAAAGTAATATTTGCTCCCTTGGATTTACCTTGAAGAAGTTCATTTTCTCCTATTAAATAATTTAATTGTTGATTTTTTCCTCCCTCAGTTTTACAAATTCCAAATAAATGAACTGAATAAATCATTTCAGATTCAATTTTTTTAAATAAAATGTTTTAAATTCCCTATACAAAGACACAAATTTTTTATCAGTGGGAAGATACATAAATAAATGTACCAGAATCATTCTATGTCTCATTGGTGAAGGTAATCCATGTATTGGAGAATATTCATTTAGAAAATTTTTTACAGTTGATTTTAAATTTTCATCAATATTGACTTTAGTTTTATGTAAATGCTTTACAACATTATTGAATTTAGAATCACTTATATTGTATAGCTTTAAAAATGCTGTTTTACAAAGAGCATAGGTTGAATTAAAACAATATCTATAATTCATTTTCTGAGGGATCTTTTCAGAGATTCTTTATAACTTTTATTTTCTATTTCTATTGCTAATCTAATTCTTTACTGTTTAGATTAATAATTTGAAAATGACTTTTAAAAAACTTTTTAAATCCAATTTTTTATAGTAAGTTCTAATTTCTTTTTGTTCATTAGAAGTGCAGCATTTGCAATTTGCTGGACTTTCAAAAAACTTTATTAAATTATGTACAATTTCTTGAATATTTTCATAATTTTCATATTCCTCTAGACCAAGTTCAAATAAATCATAAAATATTGTGAAGCTTCTTGATTAGTTGACATGTTTAATTGAAATTAATTAAATAAGAAGTATTTAAACATTGGAAATTGCTCGAGTTAAAGAACAATTAATCATCATATTATTAGCTAATTAATTATTGATTACTAACTTCCATGTAATGACTTCAGTTAATAAAATAAACACATTTTATTTTATCACGAATTTTTACAGGAAAAGCCATTGTGAATTGTTCCATGATCATTTCTGATTAATGGTCTGGCCAACTTTAATTGTTAGTTAGGTCACCTTTAATTTTACTATGCTGCTTATAGGGACACCTCAAATGGTATACACTCCCCTAAAAAAAGTATCGACTCACTTGATGATCCGCGAAAATAATTGGGTAAATTGGTAATACAAATACTCATTTTTTTTACTAAGCAAATCAATGTTGTATATTAGTGAGAAAATGTTTAACGAAATGATTCCTATAATATTCTAAAATATCACATCAGACCGATCGTTATTGATAATTTTATGATGTTTAAAAGTCAAATTAAAATTTTTCGAAAATTTTTCGAAAAAGTTGCACTTAGAGCTATTTTAAGATA